AAAGTATTATACGTATTTTTCGCAGCAAATTACAAGAAAATTAGTAGATTAACAGTAGAAAAATGGAACTCTAAGAGGATATGAGTTACCCACCGCGAACTAACTGTTTTTCCACATTCGACACAGCTTTACACATACAATAACACAACTGACCAATGCAAAAAATAATGAATGTTCACAGTATTAAGGAGGGCCATAATCGACACGAAGATATAGGTAATTTGGAAGAAGATATTCTGTAAGCTCAACTTGAAGCTTTTATTTTAATTTATTGGCAATTCTACACACTTTTTTTTCCTGGACAATGTTTAATGACGTCTAGCCGAGTGAGACAGAAATCCAAATATTCTGTTACCTGAATCTGTCAGAGTTACGTTGGTCCTCCCACAGTTATACTTTTCAGGACTTGCATTTAAATAATTCTGTCAACCTACGCTAACTTTTCGCCACTAAAGTTGGAGTGATTATGAAGGGTTAGTTTTACTTTGTAACGATATGTTCTGTTCTACTGAATGTCACTAAATATACATTAAGTAGAGTAAACAAATTCCAGTATCACGAAACAACTGAGTCGGTTATCTTAATATTATGCTTAGACTGAGAGATAAAATAAATGAATAAACTTGTAATTCATACCCAACATTAATGACTGGAGTAACCTAGATCTCGTGAAAACATAACGGACACTAACACTATTGTAATTATATTAAAATACGAAACTTTCACCCGATTTCTCTAAATGCTTTTCACAACTGTGTGCGAATCTGTGAATATTTTGCATAAAACCTGTGAAAGGGATAAAATAAGCTTTCTCAGTGACTTCTACTGGTATGGGTAAAAGTCATTTTGAGTTGAGGAAACATTTATGTTTTCTTCATATTAGTCAATATTAAATATAAGCCTAATTTGTATTTACTGGATTTTGCATCTAGATTCATTTCCCTGTCACTTTTGTTGACGTCCTAGTGCTATTCTTTGGGGCTTATGATTCTCTATTTTATGATTTCCATTTCCTATATTTCAGTCTGGCGTAAACAACTGTGACTCGTTCAGTAAGAGGCTAAATGATACATGCAAGTTGCACTTCAGGCCAGTACTTGTACGCTTAACATACAATGCAAAAGGCAAAGTGTTATGGAATACTTTTTATTATTCGCATACAGCACTATGTTTATATACAGCTAATCTGACCATTCTACATCACTGAAATATACATTTGACACATCAAGTTCATATTTCTTTATTTAAACTAAATAAAGATGAAAATGAGGACTAATATTGGAGAAAACTTTAGTTTTGTAAGGGGCACTGTTGTAATTGTACGTATATATATATATATATATATATATATATATATATATATATATATATATATATATACTACTCATCTTACAAATATGAAACTTTAATATTTCGCTTACTTATCTAAGTATAGTGAATACATAGTGAACAACTATGTTTCTATCAGTTGCACACAGAAGTAATCATATTATTAATAAAAGTCGAGTGGTTTTCAGATATGGGTTTAGTATGATCTAATTGATCCTAAGGTTATGTTCAAGAAAACAAAGGATTACTGGACAGCCATTCTACTCCGTTAAATAACTCTTCAGTGATGCGCATCGAATACTGTTAATTCGGAAGTGAATCGACTAACATTCTGTCACTCGTCGGTTAGCTGTATCTGGATTTGGGATAAATCGGAAATTACAAATTCTGACCGAGCGCAGAGTAGCGCCTTATTCGCGGCGTCAGCTGATGTTCGCCACTGAAGAAATTCAGTTTAAGGTCAGTCCCAAAAATAGTTCAATTCTTTCATATTAGTTTGTTTATTAGATGTATCACACAGTGAAACAGTATTGTATACCTACTACCACAGTGCCCAAGTTTTACACATAGTTCAATTCTTCTTGTTTAATGTCTTTCTAAGTGATTCACATTTATGAAAATAACCAACAAGATGTGAATAAGAACAAATCTAACAACTCACGAGTATAGTATTGGATTACTTACATGAATGTGAATTTCTAAAAAGCATGAATAAACATGAATTCAGTTTATTGCATTTGTTGTTATCACCGTTGTGTATTCAACCATAATTAATCACTAAATTTTATTACCGTTTCAACAGATGTTAGTTCACAGGATCAAAATCAGCCAATCAAGATAATATATGACACTGTAAATTGATAAACGACCTTTGCTAGAGCAGTCTGTACTGTGGTATATTACATTATTATTACCATCTACACAAATAATTACTGGTTAAGTATTATATCTGTAGACGCCCTAAGAGATCCGCTTAACTCTTTGAATATTCATGAAGCATACTAAGCAAAGACTTCTATTTTTACGAGTTTGACCACGGATTGATATCAATTAGAGAGCCACTGAAAATCAGGAAGTATTGGACAGCTTTTTCATCCTAGTTTGGAAATCATCGGCAGTATGCACCCACTGGGTTTCGAACCCAGGACCTTCCGGTTACAAGGCAAGCTCCTATACCATTCAGACACTGAGACCCAATTCAATGGCCCATGAATTCTAACTTCTACCAATTCGTGACTTATCGCGACCACCAACCAATGTCATCAGTGGGAAATCGATCCTCACACTTGACTGGATGGACCTCACTGATCATGACTTCTCACTAGAATTTACGGGCCATTGAATGGAGTCTTAGTGACTGAATGGTATTCGAGCTTGCCTTGTACCTGGAAGGTCCTGGGTTCGAAACCCAGTGGGTGAGTACTGCCAATGATTCCCAAACTGGGATGAAACAGCTGGCTGTCCAGTACTCCCTGGTTTTTAACGGCTCTCTAATTGATATCAATCCGTGGTTCAACTCGTAAAAACAAATCTAATCCTTACAAACCAACCCTTGAAAAGACTTTTATATTAGCCCGAGTAAACTCATCAGATAAAATTAAGCGCGACTAATATCAGTATATGGTAGAACATGAAATACACATGTTTTACTTATTTTAATCCATGTTTGAGTCAATAAATTTTGTTAAAATATTTTGTTTGAAAATATAAAAGGAACTATATTGAAAAATGTACCGTTATGTGAATGAACTTGATTTGTTATACGAAGGATTAATTTGTTTTACTAAAGTAGCATATTATTTGAATATTTAAGGGCGTTTCTTTTAGTATTATATTGTTTCCTTCAATCACTAGCATAATTACATGTTTGAAAGAACAATCACACCCAATTTCACTATATCATTAAGCTGCTTTGATTGTATTAGTTTGCACAAAATTGAATGAGTTCCTAAAAAGCATACGTGGTAAACAAGCAGCTGTATACCTGTACTTTACATGCTGCACGTGCAAATGTCAAATAAAAACGTATTCAATTTTATCAAACCAAAATAACTGAATAAAAACGAAGTAAAATCCTTCCGGAAGTATCTCAAGGATTAAACAACATCGATTGCAATTGTAAAGAAATGCCAAATTCGAACAACGCAGTAATGCCCTCACTTAATTACCTTCAAATACTGATTTCGAGGTATCTATCCTCATATCCAAAGAATCACTAGCAAACTGTTATTACACTTGGATCCTGAAGTTAGTCATCAATGAACAATAGATCATTGAAAACATGACTGATAGGATTCAGTCTGCACCAAGCAGAGAACTAGAGACATTACAGTCGTTGCTAACTAGTGTCCCATCAAAAGTACCCAATACAGTTCAACAGGGGGTCAATCGCTAACCCAAGTAGCTCAGTGGTAGCGTCTCTAACTGCAGTAATGGGTAACACGAGTTCGAATCTCCGAAGGAACTTGAGTTTCTTCAAGGTTGCAGTTACGCCTTGTTGACGAGTGCCAACTAACACTAAACCTAGGTCCAAGGGTTCTTGCCGATTGCCTCCAACCACCTAACAGATCATTTCCCAAATGTTACCAGTGACTGAATGGTTACGCACTTCTCTTGTAATCTAAAGATCTCAGGTTCAATTTTAGTGAGGTTCGACTGAAGGGTTCAGTACTATAACGAATACAGCTGACCAGTACTTCCTAGTTCTTTAAATTATGTCGGCTAGTGATTGCATCCAATTTAAGCATTTTTGTGTATCACTATTTATTACATACATCCACTCCCATGAAAATATCAGATCACCATATTTCCAAAGGTAGGGTTTAACAAATTTTCTGTAACTGCTGCTATTTACGTAATCAGGCGTACACTTCTGAAATGAAAGACGACATGTAGCATACGATTGTTTTCACTGAGTGATGCCTTCAGGACAGCAAATTCCCATTTAAACATTTGGAAAATAACAAATCTTAGCATAGCATTGATATTCTACGGCATTAATGAAGAGTGAATCCAAATCGTATGAGAGAAAAATCCGAAGTGATGTCATACTGACTGACGCAATAAAACTAGGATTATATTTACGTCAGATGCTCAAAGACTAACCTGTAGGAATACAACACGAGATATGTGCCAAACCTATATCACATTAAGTAAGTGAAGTGTAATTGAACTGGTTCTGTAGAAGCTATCCTGAAGAGTTGACTTAAGGCTGATGAAAGCCGAGATGGCTAGAATGTCACATTTGCCGAGGTAAAACCTTTCTCGGTAATCAACGTTGGCTGAAAAAGAACCAGATTGAAAAGGACTTAGTCAGACAAAAATACATGGAATTAAGCCAATGGAGTCTCATACTATTGGTTTCGGCCATCTAGGAAGGTGTACACTAACCAACCACTACCTAGACCACAGCCGGGTGCTAAGAGTAAGTGGTTTGTAACTGTTGGTCACATGGCACATAATCGTCCACAAAAGTGCGACTGCATGCATACTCTGTTTTTATCCAGATTCCAACGCCCCCCCCCCTTCTAAACGGCAAAAGATGGTTAGTATACCTCGGGTTACTCTGAGAGCGTAGAGGCATTCAACACGATAATACCTGTTTGACTTCAGAATTCATATTGCAGGTGACAACTTTCAATGATACCATTTTTTATTTATTTTTTTTACAGCTAAGTGCACTCTACTATCATGTCTAACTATGAATCAACTAACTTATATTTGCTGTTCACTGCTTTTAATGAACTTTATTGTATGCGTTATATTAATCTTGATGTTCAAGCACAAACGACAGTTAACTAACCGGCAGCAATATAAATCTAATCAGAAAAAAAATCTGCCTTCACAAAAGTTATTAAATGATTCCTCGACTTGCCCAATGTGCACCGCCTCAACACCACAAGAAATTAGTCCGACGCAACAACAATCAATCTATTACAATGAACTCGGAACTTATTTCAAATATGAAGATCAGGACGACTTTGATCACACAGTTAATATTACGTATCCTGCGTGCACAACTTCTGATTTATCACATTATCAAAGTAAAAGGTGTATATGCAGAACAGCAATGGAGAGTTCAACAAAACATCCATCAAATAGAGAGAATCTTGTATTTCTTACTTTACCGCATGAACACTCAGTGAAAATTATGCAGAAATGCAGACAAAATCAAATATCGGAGATGAATGTAGACAAATTTGAATTCGATAATTTCGATATCTAAAATAAACTACTTAGAAAGAAGCATATTATGAGGCTACAAACACAACTGAACTCGTTTATACACCACAGACTGAGTAGTGGCTTAAGCAATATATAACCAAGTCGTATTAATTGCAGAAATTTAGGAATAACAATAAGATCTTACTTATCAATTCTCAAATGACAAAATTATTGCTTTCTTCTTTGATTATTGTAAAGAAATTTGTCATTTAGAAGGTGAAAAGTCATCATAACTAAAAATTTGGTGAAAGCGAAATACTTAGACTACACAGTTCTGTAATTCGAAATTTTAAATCGGGCAACTTTACGTATTGACTTTCAGACAGTTGATCGGACTTTCTGCAGACATGTTCGTATGATATTTTGAAAGCCCATAGGCTAAATCTAATAGTGTTTTAGACAAATATCAAGCGTTATTATGTGGATCGATGGCATATTCCGCTACATATTCAACTTTTAACCAGTAAGTTAATGTCTAAATCAAAGATTTCAACACTAAGCGTGGTCAGTTAGTAATATTCGCCGTGAAGGAATATCACGATTTCCAAAAATATTTAATGGGGAACAATGTCAGAAAACCAATTTACCAAGTTAACTGGGTTTTCTTTGTAAGTACCGCAAACTTTAAATTATTTGTATGTTTCAGGTTAGTAGCTAATATATGAGTCCACTTATTTGGATGGTCAAATCAAACACAGCTGAATTAATTTACAGAAGAATATTCAATTTCAGAAAACTCTGTCTTACTACCAGTAAAATGGAACTATCAGTTGCTGCTGAGATCATAGTTGTAGTGAAAAAGTTACGCATATCATGTACATATCTAGGGATAACATCTAGGAGCCATTCATACAACTCCACACAGTTATGAAACCAACTCGTATATTTCAAACTGAGAAACCACTTTTCACCTCTTCCATAAGACATTTTTGACAATATCTTAATTTAATTTCAATGACTCTAAATTTTACGGTTAGAAACCTCATTTATTTTCCGTGCAGTGAATCACCAACACTTTCAGACTTTGCATTAGAACGACAGCAAATGACTCGACTGTGAAGATATGCGATGAGCTGAGGACACAAGATAAGTGAATGTTATATCGGTCAGTTGAATTGTTTTATTGAAAATCTAGCCACTACTTTAGTTCGGGGAGTTTGGATTTTTGTGTTTGACTGTAAGATAACAGTGATAAGTGTGTGGGCGTATTGGTAAATTATGTAGTTCACAAGGAACTACCAGATATATTGATTTTCTGGCATAAACACTAAATACAGTACAGTGTAACGTTAAACCATCCAGGTTGACAAACAGAACGAGTAAATCAACCGACTAAACTCGTGTAGTAAAGTTACACACAGTCGTGATAAGATAGGTGATTGTGAGGCGTTAATTGTGATATATTGTGATTGAATGCTAATGGTTCATATAACCCAAAATATCAACTTAATTACCTTAAGACACGCGTATTACGTAATCGTAGGATGAATGAATGACTATATAAACTAATCACTAAATACAATGTAGTGTAAACCATAATAGAATAACTAGCTAATACCTATCGAATAATGAACACACATTCAAGGATGGATGTAATCATTAAATACCTAATTAGTTCTCACTAATCATTTAGAAGTTTGGTTGCCAAAACAAGTCGAGTCCTTAAAATGAAGAGGGTTTTTGTTACATGGTGACCAAATGATATGTTCGAATTCCTGCAAACTGCTTGCCTCTTGAAAAGTTTGGCAGTAATATTTTGATAACAGTCAATGGATCTCTGCATAAAATGAGTAAGTGATAATCAAATGTAACTGACATACTCGGAGTGAGAATAGAAATAAAGCTTAACGACTTTATAACTTGGCCTAGAAAATGACAGGAATATCCGCCAGGTATTCGATTTTTCACAGAATTGAGAACAATTTTTAAACACCTTATTTGCATTATCGAAAATGCCTAAACGATCCCTCACAAAATCTATCGGAGGAAACAAAAAAGCAGTTGCAAAACGATAAATTAGATATTTTCATCTTTTTTATGAGAAACATGGGAGTGCAACAGTAATGTGAAGAAATAACAAAATCAAAATGCTAATTTTAGTGCGATGTTCCCTGTTGAATAAAGTAATTTGCGAAATTCCTGTACGTTTGAATGATTAAGTAAGAGTGACAACATGGAATGTTTAGTTCAATGGTTGGTCATAATATTCCGATAGACATTCACGTTAAGAATGAATATATTATAAGCCATATGCTTTCCACATCATCAGTTCGAAATAAGAATCCGAATCTATTGACGCACTTACGCCACTGTAGTAATTCAGAAATTCTTCCCATGTGACCTGAAATGATGCAACGGAAAACTATCCCAGTAATTTCATAAGACATATTAATAATATTTCACAACAATCACTAAAAATAGGTGGAATATCAAACAATGACAGAGAAAGGACAGAATTCCGTCACCGCAATAAGGTAAGCTAATGATCACTGCTTGTGATCCGAAACTAAATTCTCTTGTGGCCTCCTTCATTTTCGATAATAAGAATAGTACATCAATAAGCTTTTCCAAGTCAAGCCTATCCACTTTCTTTGCTGCTAGCTGTCATCACAAATTACTGCTTTTATTGTCAGTAAAAACATAAAGCACCATACACATCTACAGGCGACTTGAAGGCAAATAAAATTATCTGTCAGATAAACAAAAGAAAGTTTGCCCTGAAATAGATGGACCACAGGGGTCTTAAACGTGATAAATTTTTCATGTCCTATAAGCATTTACACTACATATAAACAGGCTTATTGATATATCAAACAAATGAAATAATTAACAAGATAAATTAACAAACATAGGAAGATAATTTACCCAGCACGATCACAGACCGCTTTATGATTACACAAGTTTCATGTGGAAGTAAATTAAAAACTCTAAGGCATCTGAACGCAATCGTACCTGATGAAATACCCCTTTAAATGATATAACAGCGACGTAACGGTTATATAATTCTGTTGTGAGGGGGAAAATCCCTTGCATTGTGGGTAGAATTTATTTCGATAAAGTCTCAGTGTTATACAGTAATATTCAATGATGACGTTTCGAGCACAATTTACGGCTCATAATCATATCAAGATACTCACACAATTTTCTAACTTAGTTTATATAATTCCATTATTTTTCATCACGACTTGATTATTATTATTATTGTTATATCCTTTAATTGCTAGAGGAACATAGGGCTTCAGCTGCGCACCTCCGTTGCCTTCTGTCTTCTGCCAACTTTTTCATCCGGCTCCAGGTCTGTCCACATGCTTTTATCTCCTCCTCACATGACCTCCTCCAAGTCACCCTTGGACGACAAACTCGCCGCTTCCCTTTCGGGTTCCACTCGAGTGATGGCTTGTCTAGTGATGTCACTTGATGGTTTCCTCAGAGTATGGCCAATCCATCTCCATTTCTTCCTGCCTATTTGTTTCACAATCAGTTCCTGATTGGTTCGCTCATTGCCAGAGATCCCTGTTGCTGATCTTTTCTGGCTGGCTATCTGATCTTGAGTATTGAGCGAAGACAACTGTTAATGAAGCTTTGAAGTTTGTTTGAGATGCTCTTTATGACACGCCAAGTCTCTGATCCGTATAGTACCACTGACTTCACGTTGGAGTTGAAAATCCGGATGTTGTTTTTGATTCTGAGTGCTGTTGATCTCCACACAGACTTAAGAGTAATGAAAGCTTGTCTTTATTTTCCGATTCTGGCTTTGATATCCTCGTCAGCCCCGTTCGCTTGTAGTTGAAACGATGCTTCCCAGGTAGGTGAAGGAGATTGTTTCTTTCAGGTTCCTCCCATTTACGCTGGCTGATTGTTGTTGCTGTTGGCCAGGAATCTTCATCAGTGTTTTATCTATGTTCACCTGAAGTCCTATCTTCTCTGGATGCTTCTGCCAGCTTGTTGCTTTTCACTTGCATATCTTCCAGTTTGAGGGAAATCAGACATATATCATCATGGGCGAAGTCCAGATCCTCCAAGTTTTGTGTGTGAGTCCATTTTATGCCTGTTTCCTCATTGCCCGTTCTCTATCTGTCGCATTATCCAATCTACTGCAATCAGGAAGATCATTGGCGATAGTAGACAGCCTTGCCTCACTCCCGTCCTCACTTCGAAGGCTTCCGTAAGTTTCCCGTTGTGGATTACTTGGCATGCAGCATTGTCGTGTAACTGTTGGATGAGATGTATAATTGTCGATGGCACCCCTTGGTAGTAGCGAAGCAGTTGCTTAATCACCTCTCGATCGACGCTGTCGAAGGCCTTTTCAAAGTCGATGAAGTTGAGATAGAGAGGTGACTGCCATTCCAAGCTTTGTTCAATGATGATCCGTGGAGTGGCGATTTGATCAATACATGATTTGTTTCTCCTGAATCCGCCCTGTTCCTGCATCCACGGCTTGTTTGATTCTCTCCAGGATGATGCGGCTTAGAATTTTGCTTGGGATGAATAGGGGTATAATTCCGCGCCAGTTTTTGCATTGACTTAAGTCTCCTTTCTTTGGTAGTCTGAATAAGTATCCTTTCTTCCAATCCTCGGGTACTTTGCCCTCTTACCATACCTTCTCCAGTAAAGGCGTCATCAAGTCCGCTGTTGTCTCTGGGTCCATTTTCAATGCTTCTGCTGGGATTCCATCTAGTCCTGCTGCTTCTCCAGCTTTTAGCATCTTGATGGCATTCAGGACTTCTGATTTCGTCGGGGGGCCGATGTTCACCGGTAGTTCTGCTTCCGTTGTTGGTATTGTTGGGCGCGTTGTAGGTGGTGGGCGATTTCGAAGTCTTTTGAAATGTTCAGCCCAATGTTTTCTTTGTTCCACCTCTTTGGTGATTGACTTTCCATTGTCATCCTTTACTGGCCTAATCTGTGTCGAACTTTTGCCCGATAGGTTCCTAGTTGTTTGGTAGAGTGTGGCGAGGTCTCCTTTGCCTGCAGCTTGTTCTGCTTCACTTTCCATGGTTTTATAATATTTTCTTTTGTCTTCCCTGGCACTCTTCTTCACTCTTGTTCAGTGTATTGTAGCTCGCATTCAACTCCTGTTCTGGTTGCTCGTCGGTGCACTGGATAATCTTTTGTTTCACTATCCTTCTCTCTCCTATTAGTTTCCAAGTGTACGTAGTGAGCCACTGTTTGTCCTGTCTCTTCTTTCTGCCTAGAACTTCCATGCAGGTTTGACTCCACACCGTTTTCAAGTTGTCCCAGTGCTTTTCGACGCCGACCTCTTCGCTAGTGTTGATTTGCGTCTCGGTTTTGTCCTTTATGCTTGCAGTGAAGATGTCTTTTGTAGCCTGGTCCTTCAGTTTTTGAGCATTGAACTTGGCTTGTGGTCTATCTGCAGCTGCTGTTTCCCTGATTATGAGCAATAAATTGTGCTCGAAACCTCATCAGTAAATATTACTGTATAACACTGTGAGACTTTATTCAAATAAATTTTACTCGCAATGAAGTTTAGCTCTACTACATTGCACAAGTTCTATTCTTATATCAAAACCCCCTGCAGCATATAAAATATTCTGTTGCTCTTATGAATAATAATTATGCAGTGGAATGACTATGCTAGATATAACTTCCGCAGCTCAACGAAACCTGTACAACTAACTACACAAAAATATAACCTCTCTTAAAATTGAAGCGAATTGCTAACTCTGTGCAAAAGTGTGGGGTTTCAAGATGTCTCAACTTATAAAAGGCAAAGAAATGAAATTCAATCAAAATACAAAAATGAGAATGTGTTAGGAGGAATAAGAAAATGAGAATAAAAAAAATACCAATCCTAATTCTTACCATACCTATCTAAATGCTAACTCCTCTGAAGAAATAAAGCTCCAAGAAGATAGCTGGATATAGAAAGAATCAAAAGTACTCAAAGACAGTAACTTAATAATTGAAGTTACAAAGGAGTATGCATGCCATGTAATACATACGCTATGCATGGTCGCAAAAGTTAAAAGCCACCTTCTTGCTAGGAGAATGTCTTCAGACCAACTTAAATAAATTAAATGTGACCAGAAACATGCTCAAATCAGGTTACTTACAGAACCATCCACGGACTTATCACTTTCGAAAGTCTTCAGAAACTCTTTTAAAACTTGTTCTTCAGTCGCCTTGCCAGACTGATACTTGGCGTCGTGTTTAACTTGATAAACGCTGCGTAAATCATCCGTCTACAAAAGAGATGCAACATTTTACAATAACTATATGAGCCAACGTTAGTACATATTTTACTGTCAAACCGACTATTTTTAAAATGACAGTTGAACTCAAGTCACCTGGTTATTCTAAGTGGCTACGAAAATAGTACACAAAAATATTTTAGTGGAAAGCGTGTACTAAAACAATAGAAAAACAGTTCGGTTAGAGTTGGGACTAAACCATGTTTTAACAAACAAAGAGAATGGTTAACATACTACAAAGTAAACAGTTACCGTAATTTTACCGTCCCCAGTTTTATCCATCTTTGCAAACGCCTTCTTAATGACATTAATACGTGCATCTGACATAGGAGGCTAAATATTTCACTGGTGAAATGGTCAGTAACATACTCGTAATGCTCGTAGGAATTCGTCGAAAATTATCGTCCCACTTCCATCCTTGTCTAACGAATTGAATAGCTCATCAACCTCTTCAGGAGACAAGTTACATCCAAAATCATGACAGCCTTTTTTGAACTCTTCTTTAGACAGCGACTTGCTACCGTCATCATCCATTATACGGAACTGTCTCCCGAATCCATATATGCCATTGGCTCCTCTTAAAAGACATTGACATTTAAGTTTTTCCAGAGGATTGCTAGTGCTGGTGAGTACTTTCCGTGCATTAGACTGTAACTCTCTAATATCTGCATTGCTAGCTGTCATGATAATAATCGTACCGTTCACCTACAAATTACCGGTGGTTAGAAAATATATGCAATCTATATATAGTTGATGATTATAACACTCATCCAATATCCATCATCAATTTTACGAGCTAGTGTAATCCTATTTGATTTCTTTGTGTTAATAAATATATATATATAATATTGATTGCAATAGTCAATAATAATAGCTTAAGGAACGTAATATTTGGAGTAGTCAGGAGTAAGAAAAGAGAGGGTGTGAAGAAGTAAGACGGTGAGTTAAGATGTCTGCCCACTAGTAGTGCATAAGACTTTAAGGTAAGAGGCTGTTTGGACTCAGTCCTTGTGTCGTTGCATGTTTGTCCAGCCTCTGCATAAAACTGTCCATAGACGACTACGGTCTCACGTATGTTTTGTACAACCTTAGAACGAGCTAAGAATTGCGTGCACCCAACTGTCCATGTGTAAAGCGTATGACCTCGCTACATAGCCTGCGTAATGTACGCTTGTGTTCGTGTCTTCCGTCGAAACTAGACTTAGGTCACGCTCCGACGTTGTGCAGGATAATTTTTCGTTGCACAGAGTGCAATTTACATTCGACAGCCTACAGGTGCTTAATTGCGCTACTTTGCACTTTTCAAGTTTGAAATCTTTCAGAAGTTTTGGGTTCACCTGCGGCATATCTGAGTCCTTCGAGCACTTTATCGCTCTCAAAATCTTTGCGTCGTCAGAGTATAGAAGATTCGGGCAGCATTTCCCGCATGGTAGATCACTGATAAACATCGAAAACATAAGCGTCACTAGGTAGAACCCTGAGGAACTCATGGTGACGCACTATGTCGGGATGATCGGATACGATTAACCTCAGTGCGGAATTTCCTTCCATCCAGGTAGTCCTCCAATCACGACAGAGGCGGCCCACCCACACCTGACTCACATATTTTATATAGAAGAAGGTCACGGTGAACTGTGTCAAATGCCTTCTCAAAGTCCAGTAAGGTGGCATGGACTGCGACATTCATATGCCAGCACGACGGTCAATCATTACAAGCGGATAGTGGGTTTGTTGCACAGGATCCACCCTTCATGAAGCCATGTTGTGCTTCATGGAGTCTACTAGTCCTGGTGAGGTGTTCTCGAATGCGATCATCAATTAGACACTTCAGTACTTTCGATAACATTGGGAGTAGCGCTAACGGTCAACAGCTGGTGGCATTTTGCCTAAATCCACCCTTGAAAACAGGGGAGACCACGGCTCTTTTCCACTCTCTTGGCAGTTTCCCTGAATCCATTGAATGTTGGAGTAGGTCGTATAAGGGCATACTGAGAGCCTCAACGCACTGTTTCAGAACAGATTGCCTGATTTCGTCACGACTTGGGGACTTTCCAAATATGAGCTTCTGTAACTTCCCTAGTACCACTACCGGGTTAATTTGGAACATAGCCAATAGGTTTTCCTTCGGTAAATTAGCAGTGCAGACATTTTGGCCTATACCAGTAGTACCCGCATATCTTTTTAACTGTTTGTCAAGGGCCGAACTGAATTTTTCAGCCATTTCCAGGCTAGTGGGGCATTAACCATTCCGACATACTGAGGTGCATGTTCCCTGGTTGTTAGGTTTTCACTTAGACATGAATCAGCAAGCTTTCGGCAGTTCTAAGGCAAGGCTTGCCAAAAATGACCACTTATCCCTCCTGACTCTTGTTTTGAATCGGTTACTGGGATCCAGGTGTGTATCGTGATCATTTCGATTCTTCGAGATCAGTCAGGTCAAGCAGGCTTTCCGCAATGCTTACAGAGTACGTTGCGTACCTCTCTTCAGCTATGGGGACATTTTCCCGGTTGTATTGAGACCAGAGGGGAGGTATCTGGGATTGCTGTGTGAATAAGACCCTTCACCACCACATAATGCTCCTCCAAGGACAACTCAGCCCAGTCTATGGGCCGCTGTGTCGGCCAAAAGACTTCGTGTTCCAACGTTGTCAGCTTCTCTACAGCACAGACAGCGTCACATAGGCGCTCACGCGGAATTAAATCAAACACTGTGACTGCGTGACTCCTTATGGTTGGTTCTGATTGGGACACTGACTAGTAACTGGCCACTGGTCAGGATGTGGTTCAGTTTCAATGACTTTCCACTAGGGCCTCGCCTTGTGTCGTCTGCAACCTTCTCAGTCAGTCCTACGTTTGTAATGGTTTGTAGTGGATTTCGGCCGAATTTTCCCTTGGCATACCCCAAGCCAAGGTTCAGTGATGGGGCAATGAATTCTGCAGCTATGGTTGTTTGGTCATAGCCCAAGTCCCGTATCCCTGCGATGGCGCTGAGCAGTAGCTGGTTGTGTTCTGTTCCACAGATGGGCGATCGGCGAGTGCCACCCAGAAAATGCTTGGTATGACCTAGAGTAAATGATGTCATATAGGGTATGGGAGCACAGTAAGTGGTGGGTCCGCTGCACGTAAGCACTTAAGATGCTTGTCAAAGTATATGACAAATCCCCCTCCTTGTTTTCTCTGTCCCTCCTCACCAGAACAATATCACCTGTACTGATTTTGTTGTCCTGATGGTAAGGGTTAGTCAGGTCTCACTAAGCATGGTCGTTTTAAGATGTAGGTGTCACTGGAGGTTTCCCTGTTCGTCTATTTTCCTCTCAGCCCTCTCACATTGCCACACAGGCAGCTGAATGTGCAACTCACAACCTCAGTGTGTTGTGGGGTAGTTCATGTTATGTATTCCGTTGGCAGAGGACTAAATATTGTCGCTAGTTGGCCGATTCAGAAAAAAGCGGCATGCCGAAATGCTCCTTGGATTGAGTCACGAAACATGAGTGAAACCAGCTGCCATTGTAGTTGAAGATTGAACGATCAATTCATGGTTGTTTGCTCAAAACCAACTTCTCTATATTTTCGCGGAGGCATCAATACATCAGTCATCGTCTCATCGGTCGCTGCATAGAAAGAAGATCAAAAACCGTCAGAAACCTTAGTTATTATGGTGCTCATATGTTGGTGTTAGAATAAAGAATTCTCGAGTTGCCAATCGGTGTATTGGTTTTTGCGTCCGTTAGTAATAAGCGTTTCTGAAAGTCTTCGAGGGACAGCGAGAGGCCCGGCATAGAAAGAGTTTGGCATTAACGGTATTTGGGACGTGATTGACAGTTTCTTATGGTTGGTGACAATTTGTAACATTTTGGATAGTCACCGTCCATCTTTCCTGGTGCCGGTCAAGTCTTCTTCGAACAAGCGTTATCTGGAACTTTCTGGAATTTTGTTTACGTTCAGTGATCCCTGGGTCAAAGAAGGGACAGAGCGTCTTGGAAGCAAACAGGAAAGTAAGTCATGTTGACTTGTCTGATGTTAAGCATGACATGGTTGATGTTACTGTTTCGCCGTTCAGGGATAATAGGAACATCAAACTCCCTAAATTAGAACCACGGTGTTTTGATGGAAACCCAGCTGATTATTTACAATTTGTAAAGGAGTTTGGGATCATGTTGAGTGGTATTTTATTAAATGATGAATTGAAGTTAATGTATTTGATGAGGTATTGCACTGGAGATGCTGCAAGAGCTATACAGTGCTGTAAGTTTATGAAGCCAAAAGAAGGCTACTACGAGGTTATGAGCATACTACGTCAAAGGTTTGGAAGACCTTCAATGATTGTAAGGAACGTATTCGAGGCTGTTAAGGGTAATGGTGGTCAATTACAGGATGACTCCCAGGCACTTACTGAGTTTTTAGATAATTTGCTAATTTACAAGAATGCAACGATTTCGGTGTATGCATGAGTGACCTCAACTCGAGTTTTATACTAGAAGTAATAGCAAGACGCCTACCTACTCGACTGCAAATGAAGTGGGTGAAGATGAGCTCCCGTATGGAGGATGAGGGTATCGAGCCAAAGTTTGATGATATCCTGAAACTGGTTAAAGATAGCGTCAATCAATCTATGAGCAAGTTTGCCAGTATATTGAATCTCACCCCAAGAATAGAGCAGTCTGAGAGAAAAACGCAATCATTGATGACGAGTAGGCCTCAGAGAGGTGGATATCGAGAAGGCTCCATGATGTATAGTAATGCATATAGACCTAATGAGTGCAACAGGTTTCGTAGTACATCCTCAACAGATAAGTTGCAAGCTGCAAGACAAACACAGTTGTGTTTTACGCGTTTGCAAGAAGTGCATACGAAGATGAACTGTGAATCAGTGAGCAAGTTTAGTGATAAGCTCAATGTAAACTCCAGGCCTGACTCCGAATTGTGTGACGATAACGGTGTTGTGAAGAAGTCTGTAGTTGCAACTGGTAAGCCGTTGTTGAATAGAGTGTCACAGAATAGAGTTACTGCTTCAGAGTGCAGTTCTGACTCCAAAAGTTTACAAAGTATAACTAGTCAGAGTGAAGTTATAAAACCTTTAATGATTTGTGAGGAGGAACCAAAATTGTCTACTTCTGTTATTAAAGAGTTTGAAAATGATGAAGTTGACGGTAAAGTGAATATTCGTGATAATGATCATGATACTTCACAGTTGTCTTTGGTTGATCATTATGAGATGAGGGATATGCCTACTACTGCTAAGTTAAATAAAGGTTCTGTACAACTACAACGTGAAGTAGAATTGAACGCAGATGCAGTTCCAGAAGGTGTGCATACTTGTGATACAGTCAGTGTAATTGATCAGCATGTAGCCCACCTATCATCAGATGATAGTGCTAAACCCGAACTAGTAGTGAAAGACAGCAGTGATGGTAATCTTGCAGTTAGACAACTTTCTGAAAGCCGAACAACAACAGCTTCTGATCCACCGCTAAGTTCATCAACTGCTGTCAATCAGTCTTCGTTGGTGTTGTCATCCACAACGAAGAAGACGCCCATGAACTCAAGTATCTTGTGAAATTACTCTGATAGTATCAATCCGTTTGAAAAGAAGATAGATATTGTGGATTAGATCAAATAAAGTGTAATTATATCTTAATAGTTTACACACAATGATAAGTTTTCTTATTGGTAATATTTCGAGCAAATTTACCAATAAGAAGACTTATCATTGTGTGTAAACTATTAAGATATAATTACACTTTATTTGAAGAAAGATATTGCTTAGTTTAGTGAGGATAAGCCAACTGTGTACGAGAGGGTAATTGTTAAATTGACTTGCATGAAGAAAGGTTTTTCAAGTTCCAGGTTGCTATTTGAATGCTATTATCTTTGGTGTGAATTACTCTGTGCCTACGCTTGGTTGGTTAGATACGTCGTATGTTTGTTAGTCATCTATATTCTACGATAAAATGACATGAGCATGTTGCCGTTCAGAGTTGAGGATACAGATGAGAGTAGTGGTACTAGGGAAGTTACAGAAGCTCATATTTGGAAAGTCCCCAAGTCGTGACGAAATCAGGCAATCTGTTCTGAAACAGTGCGTTGAGGCTCTCAGTATGCCCTTATACGACCTACTCCAACATTCAATGGATTCAGGGAAACTGCCAAGAGAGTGGAAA